TGTAACGGAAATGGCCTGGGGTACTCACCTTTGGAATGGGGGATCGAAATTCATGGTATTTCAGTAAATGGGAGCCCCATTTGGGCCCCATTTACTGTCAAATATGACACTGACAAGCGGGAAGTTTCGCACCTGTTCTGGAGATTTCTAGAACTATCTGGAATACCTGGAGAAATGTATATAAGCGACGACGAGAACCAGACAAGGGAGAGTGAAGTGACAGCCGCGCCTGAGTGCAGAAGAAGTTAAACCCGCGAGTCGGAAATCCGTGTTTTCCGTGTGTTATTGTTATCGTTTGTGAAGTTGACATTAATTTTAGAAGTTAGTTTGTTCCTGTTCCGTAGTTAAAGTTGTACCGAGTGGAATAAAAGTTGTAACCAGAAGAAAGAATTTGATACTCGGCCATCCACGTGACAATATTATCTATCACCCCACGGAACTCGCAATAGTATTGTTAGCAGTGAAAATATAAGTGGCTCTTTAATATCACGTTTGGGACCATCACGTTTTAAATCACTGTTGATTTTTACGTTCGTCACAGATTGTGATTACAATTTATTAATCAGTGTAAAATAATGACAGGTAGTGATTTCTTGCACAACTCTATCCGAAACACCCAAAGCAAAAAGAAAACTTTTTTAAGGTGGAAAAAGGGGGTTTGTGCTCACTTCACTGATTGGGACCGAAGCATAAAACGGTAAAAAATATGCAATTTTTCGGCCAAACAGTCGTAAAAATCGACATTTGACTTTTAAGGGTGCAAACCGTCATAAAAACTGCACGCGCAAATGTCAAGCGCATAACAACGTAAATGTCTTAAAATAAGTGCACTTACATTAAAACTGCTCATTTCCGCATGAAAATAGTCCATTCCCATCATGGAAAATCCCTCGATCGCTTGAAGATGACTGGAAAAGGCTCCCGAAGCTCCAAGTGTGTTAATAATGAAAACTGAAGTCTAACACTTGTCAAAGTAAAAAATCAGGATTTCGTAACTAAAATCGCACTATGGGCCGGGAAAATTGCACGATGCCGCAACGAAGGTACGCTGTTCCGTACAAAATCCACAATTTTCCGCAAAAAAAACAGAAAAAAACGCGAAGTTTTGGAAATTTGTTCGGAGCGAAAGGATGACACGTCACTCCATCTAGAAGCCAGTCGAATTCTGAGGAAAATGGTGGATGTGCTTTTGTCTTTTGGGGATTACATCAGTGATGTCGGCTGGTTATAAATGTGGGCAACTTTCTGAGTGAAATATCCGAAATAATACGCCATTAGCAAAACTGGACGAAACTATGTTTAACCACATAGAGTATATCCAAACTACTTAATCAAACACGAGCAAAAAAGCCCTAACTGCAACAGATTATAAGGGTGCCTCTATTTTCCCAAGCACAGCTTTCCATGGGAGAAACTAGCGGCAATAGCGCATAGCATTCGCTTTGACATGAGGACCACAGATTACAGACAACCTCTGTGATCTGTGATGAGGACTACGGACTTAACCCTATATTATGCGGTTGTATTTCTGGAAACTATAACACTTTAAAAGGAATTTGAGCCGAGGACGATGACCGCGTTGATGAAGGCCTCAGTTCGGGACATTCCCGAAAATGCGGTGATTCTCAGCGAAACGGAGGCATTGAAATTTCAAATGGACATAGTGAAAACCTGGAAGAAACCGTCCGAAGTGTAGGTATTCATGTCGGGCAAAAACCGCTTATTACATAGATAAGTTCGTAGATTCGCAATACGATACGGCAGTTACGCGCTAGGCCTGAGCACATTGTTGAGTTCGGTGTTCCTAAACAATCACTTCCGACGGAAATTCATGCTGGGCCACTATGGGGCCTTTTCAACATATATCCCCGTTTGCATTCTTCCTGCCGCTGTGTCGCTCGTCCTGCATACAGAGGTAGGTGATGGCAGTTAATAAAAACCTCAATACGCGTGCTTTCTCCCAGATGATCCTTCGAAAGACGTTGTTGATGAACGCAAGCGATTGTCCTGTTTGCCTGCAAGTAAAGTCAGCAGCCCTCCAGTCTAGCCTGGGGTTAATTTACCCTCTGATGGCTGCCCCCATAGGAGGCGCCGCTGTAAGTACAATACTAAACTCAAAAACCTGTCCAAATAAACTAGTATTTTTCAGTTGGCAGTGCGATACGCAACATATAACATCCCACTGATTCAAGAGAAACCGAAGGAAGTTCTGGAGACTTTCAACAAAATGATGAGAAAAATCAAAACCAAGACGATATACATTTTTTTGTGGCAGGCCCTGTTAGGGGCCACCGTTGCCTACTTTGAGACCAACGAAATTATAGGCATACACGAGAAGTTGAGTGCTCCCAACCGGGACTGATTAAGGAAGTTTTGGACAGTGTAGTCAATGTAGTACAAGCCGCAGATTAAAAACTTGTTTATTATTCGAAACAACATAAATGGAAAGGAAAAATACCATGTGACTTTGTACAACACGCACCCCGAAAATAAGTAACCACATATTATGAACAAAATCTAATCCTAAAAATGAGTAAATATTCCAAAAGCAATTAGTGTTACCTAGAAAAACAACGGTAAGATAATATAAATAAACCTAGATCTAAGTATTCCTGGACATAAATTTTCCTTAGCCAAAAGTTCCCTGAGGTGTCAATTGTTTACCTAAGTTAAAAAGCCCTAAATTTTGAATTTCCAACAATGACAAAAAGGCGAAGAGACCACAACCCTTTGGAGCGGGTTGCGTCAAAACTACTGAATGTTTAAAATAACGTTTCAAACCGGGCCGGCATGGTGGCCGAGCGGTCGCACCGACAGGCTAGCAACCTGAAGGTCCGAGGTTCGAATCCCAGCCGTGCACATGCAAAATCAAAAAGT